CACCCACACCCACACCCACATCCACATCCACACCCACACCCACACCCTCAAGTTTTTCTATATTCATTGGTTTTTTTTAAAGATGTGCTTATTTCATATAATAATTTGAATGAAACTGTATCCTAGACGAAAAAATAGATTGAGTGAGCAGTTGGAATTCTATTTTCTTGAAAATACACAGTATCTTGAAGGACAAATTCTTTTTACACTCTCTCAAAGTTGTGAAGGTCTGGGCAGTCCTGCTCATTGGTATCAAAATGAGATAATAGATTTAACTTTGTCTCATAAAGATTTAGTTTTTCAACGATCAAATTTCATCTCATAACTTTAGAACGTTTTGCATACATTCATGTTTGGAAAATTTATAGTAACTGAGTTTAATAGCTCGTGTAATTGAATCATGACAGCTAATAAACAAGGCACAGTTGATATTATGACACAGGTTATGTGTATCTCTAATGACAGCAACGTACACTAATTGCTATGGCTTTATTCACTTTTATGCAGATTTGATCTCGAAAAATAGTATTAAAATGAACTTTAATATCCTTGATTTTTTCCTAAAAATTTACCTACCTGTTTTCCTGATTTTTGAATATATGCTGTTGTGATCCCTGGATACCCCTTACCGTTCATTTTATGGTTTATAGCAAGCAGTTTGCAGAAGAAGCGAATGAAAGAGTTTCATCTATAAACAGATCTAATGGTTCTCAGAAATTTCTGAAATTCCAGCATAAATAGAAGTTTTCTTGTAAAATAAATATGTTCATATCTCACAATATGGTGTGAAGTACTTGACCTTCTCTAGAAGTTAGTATCTCAAGAACAAAGCATTCCTTGTGCCTAAAAATTTCACAATATTCTAAGGCGTTTTAAATCTTTATATGAACGAAATTTTATCTTGTTTTATTGGACTCTATTTTTTATGGGCAGAAGAATTAGAATTAGAACCAACACAGATCTTTCTCTTCGATTCCGAATTAGAGTCATTTATCAGTTCTGTTCATATAATCGCTGTTTTTGAAGAATATATATATTTTTTTAAAATTCATTGTGATCTTGCCAGTCAAGAATATTAGAATTTAGTTTATTTAATTTTCTTCATAACTTTGTAAATTTTACTTTTTCTTTTATATCAAGTGTGTTCACATCTAGTAATAATTGTCCAACATGTACATCAGATTCAAGTTGTCGTTCAATTTCTTCATCCATGTCAGCATTATCATCAGCTATCATCTCATTTGAATCCTAATTAAAAACGAAAAACAAAGAATCGAACCATTTTATCTTGGCATTAACTAGTTACTTCAAATTTTTTCAAGAGTACAGCGACAACAATATTAACAAGTACAAATTGAGCCATAAGAACGAAAACAACAAAATACATAAGTGAAATGATTGTTATAAAGCGACTTTTGCTAGCACGAGGTGAATCATCTTGACGTAAAGTATCCTTTAAAACAATATTTATGACTAAAAAAAAGAATTAATCGTTTTTTTTTCAATCACTTACTTTCATAATACTATTCCAATTATCACCTGTTGAAATACGAAATAATGTAAGAAGAGCTATGCCAGAATTTTTAAAATGTGCATATTTATTGAGACCACTACATGGTTGTTCTTCACTACATTCTAATTTCCCAAATAATTCAACACCAAGTATAGCAAAGATAAAGAAAAAAAGAAAGGATAGAAGACCCTAATTTTAAAGAATAAGATAAAATAAAATAAATAATTTCATTTACCAAATTTTCAGCTTGTGGAAGAGCTTGCATCACAGTATCCAATAGAGATTGAAGACCTTTGGCCATTTTCAGTAGTTTGAATACTGAAATAAAAAAGCAAAAAAAAAACATTTTTATTCGTTTTACTCTGTTCACTTACCTCGTACAAGTCTCAATACTCTGATCACACGAATAAGTGTAGGATCTATTGGAAAAATATGTCTACTTGACATTATTTCCATTACAGTACCAACTATTGATACAAGTACAATACATGAATCTAACTGATTCCATCTTAAAACAGAAATCAAATTTTAAAAAAAAATCTCAAATTAATTTTTTTCTTACCTATCTTTAAAATAACGTAATGGTCCAAGTGCAACAATTTTCCATATAAATTCAAGTAAGAATACAAGTCTAAATACATAATTACAATATTCAAGAAATTTTTCCAAGTCCTAAAAACAAAATGTTTTAACAATATAAAAACTTAATGAATCATTGTTGTTTTTCCTTACAGATGGCATAGAATAAAATTCAAGTGACAGTACAATAACATTAAAACCAATAATAACAGCAATAATTAAATCAAAATATTTACTAATGCATAGATCATGTAAACGTCTACGCCATGGTGAATAATGTGCATAATATGGTAATTCATGCATAAGACGTTGTTTACGTTCAAGTTGTTTTGCACGTTTTGCTTTATTTCGAGCTTCTTCTTCAAGTTCTTGTTGGGCTCGACAATTATGATAATTGTCAACAACAACACCAACAAACATATTAAGAACAAAAAAACCGACAACTAAAATAAATGATATAAAATAAATTGATTTTGCTTCACTATAATTCTTTATTGGTTGCATTTCAACATCAACTGCATCAATACCATTATACATTATTTGTACCCAACCATCTTTTAATGCAAGAATAAATAGTGTCAGTAGAGCCTAAATAAAAGTAAGCAATTTTTTTAAAAATTATCTTAATAACAAAAGTATATTCGATAACATACTTGACCCAAATTATCAAAATTATATTGTTGATTTTGCCATCGATGATCGGACATAGCTTCACATTGTTGTCTTGTTGTTACATTATAAGCGAGAGGACCTTTACAATAGTAGAATTTACCTTTGAAAAGCTAAAAAAATAAAAAAGTAAATAATGAGATCGAAGAATTGTAAAAAGGCATGAAAAAAAATGTTGCTCTGTCTCGTCAAAAATCAAAGATTTCTTATATCAAATTCGAGAAATGCGGTGCCACAAATTGTCATAGATTTCATGGAAGGTCGGACGTACATGGGATTTAACCGTGGATATGGAATAGAGGTCAGCTGAATAAGCACTCAGCGCTACGATCATGTGGGATTAATATACAAAAAAAAATACCAGTATCTAGGTGAATGGCGTCCGGCTAGTCTGGTTAGAAAACTAAAAAAATCGTTGAATCTTTGAGCCACGAATTCGCCATCTGGCTTTTCAGTTTTCGGCCACTCTAAGCATAAATGACCGCCGAATTTCGCTTCCATAGTTTGTATATTTTTAAAGATTTCTGACCGAACACCATCCATCAGAATTAGTCCTATCCCTTTCAAGGCTATGCTATATGAAGCAGTATCCTCGCGGATATCTGCCATATGGAATTATTTTTGCTGGAAGAAATTATAAAAACTTGATATTGCTTAGTTTGAGAGCTCGAAAAGAAGATACGAACAACGCTCTTTTATACTGTTTCAGCTGTCTCTGAAATATGAAATGTGCACAGGAGATCATTCAAACAAAAGCACAATGTCTGCCTAAATTATGAATAGTAGTCATTTCTCAGAAAACAAGAATTTTTTCTGTATATTCTTAAGGAAAAACTTAAGAATAGTCGCAAAAAAATGAGTACAATAAAGCATTTGACAAGATTTCTAATATACTACAGATGAGTATGGAACTTTATCCATAATAATCAAATATTATTTTTTTATATTGTCGTATAACAACTTCAAGAGTAAATCATTTTGAACTTTTGATATTGAGCTGTATTTCTTTCTTTTACCTGAACACCAAGAATGCCAAAGATGAGAAAGAATATACAACAAATAATAACAATATGACCGATTGATTTCAATGATGAAAGTAAAGTTTGAGCGACAAGTTTAAGGCTAGGTGCTCGATTGATAACTAAAACGATATAATGGAAAAATCAATCAAAATAAAAGAAAAAAAAATCTTTTCTAACATGAGAGTGGTCGTAATATTCGTAATAAACGAAAGACTTTTAACACGCTCAGATTATTTGATGTTGTATCCGACTCTGTGGATGACGTAATACTACCTCGATTCACTACTATACCAATATCAACAATTGAAATAATTACAAGAAATCCATCCATAACATTCCAACCGCTATGTAAATAAGTATTAGGTCCAAAAATAAGTCCACTTGCAATTACTTTAATCATCATTTCAATAGTAAATATAGCTGTAAATATATAATTAGTGTAGTTCAAAAATTGTCGTTCCTACAATATAATTGTAATTGTTAGTTTTTAAGTTGAAAATAAAAACTAAGTGATTACATACGAAACTTATAGGAGAAATCGATGGACGTTCCATAGCGAGTGTAATGCAATTGAGAACAATAAAGAAAATAATTAAATAATCAAATGATTTTTGTATAATTAATTGTTGAAATACTTTGCGTAGTCTACCGAAGAAAATGGAATCACAAATTTTCATATTCGAATTATTTTCAAAACAAAATTTTACCTATTCGAAGGTGAAAAAAGATAAAATGAATAGTTTTCTCGCTTCGTTAAACATTCAAATATTCGTAGTCTACAACATCGACTTAAACATGATCGAATGGTCTAAAATAAAATAAAATTTATGTGAAGAGAAGAATGGAATATATATTTATTATTAATTTTGATTTTGATAAACTTTCTGACTCAGGTCAATCACACTCGACCTATAAATTCATTACTTTCAAAAATTTTGAATTCAGACTCGATTAAAAACAATTTTTCGAATTAACCTCCAGCACGGATGTGAATAGATTCGATTTTTTCTTTCGATTACTAACATATCCTACGCGTTGTTTGATGACACTGAAGGATAGAGCCGCACGAGTCAAAATTTTCGGTATGAAGTACTAAAGTTAGCTGAGAACGTAGTTATAAATGAATCTTTTTCAAGTGATTGTTTACTTCGAAATGACTTTGAAATAAAAATCAATATTTACTCCTGATTTTTGAGTTGTTAATTCATGTTGTGTATTATCTCTAGTTGACACATCTAATTGCATATTGTTTTGGTCGTTTATCGGTAGTTGAGTATCAATAGCAGGTTGTATAGTACTACTAGTAATAGATATCGTATGTCTATCATTTTTCTCTTGGCTTCTTGGTGTTTGATAAATACTTGTCGATACATTTTGATTAAATGAATATGATGAATTATCGATTGTTGATCGGCATTTGACAATTGAATTTAAACATGTATTTGTCATCTTATTTGATTCTTGTTCAATTAAATTCCCTTCATGAACAATAAAATATCGTGTTGATGATAATGGGAATGATGGATCAGAATTTGTACGACGTACAGAACGAGCTAATGTATCTTGTCGTCGATCATCTTTCTTACCATCATTATTGAATTTAATACTTGACGATTCATCGAGATTCTCAGGTATTTGAATATGACCTGTGATAATTGCTTGTATCTGAAAATAAAAATTTTTTTTTAGATATTACAATTTTTGTTTCATTTTATATTTCTTACTTGAAACGGATCTACTTTGCTCAATCTATTCGTACTATTATTATTATTATTTGCTGTATCATCTTCTTTCTAAATAAAATAAAATAATGATAAAATATTCTAAAAAAAAAGTTAATTTACTGCATGTGAAAAACTTTCAACAAGAATAGCAACAAATAAATTCAATAATATATAATTGCCAACTACCATAAGTCCAATAAAATATAATGCTGACCATGGACTTGTCTTTTTCATTCCATTATAAAGTACCTCATTCCAATCTTCTTGTGTTATGATCTATTTTATATCATAGAAATTAGAATTATTCAAAAAGATAAATGAAATGGTTAATAGAAGGAATATATTGATGGTAAGAAGAAGTATGATACCTGAAATACTGTTACTAATGCAAAACGAAGTGAATCGAAGTTTGTTCTCTCTTGTATACATGTTAAATCTTTGAGATCAGTAGAATTTTTTAATAAATCCCATTGAACACACGCACAACAATGGCATTTCATATTAATTTGTTCACGTGATGTTATATTGAATGCTTCAAGCGTGCAAAATTCACCACCGAACAAATGCACACCCAGAACGCTATTCAAATTTAGAAGAGAAAACAAAACAATAATGGAGTAACATAACGTGTATATGTGTATGATGACAAAAAACGGCTATATACCTACGGTTTGTTTCAAGGAGTTCTTTGCTGTGTTCTACTTACAATGGAAGAAGGGCCTGTGCTATAAGTGAGCTAGATTAGACATATTCGAGTCAAATTAGAGGTCTCACTGACAAACTACCAAATTTAAAATATTAGTTGTCCTTGGCTTGCATGGACAGAGGTAATTTGAATTTTACTGTATTGATGGTTTCATTATAGTGACATCAGTATACAGGAATTATTTATATCCATTTCATATATAGCCAACTGAATATTTCGATAGTATATATCAAAAATCTTTCTGAGATTCGTTGACTATGTTACGAACATATTAATTTCGTTGTCTTCTGAAGCATATGTAGTATTAAAATAAAAGAAAGATGTCTGTTGTGTTTGAAAAATGAATTGTACGGAAAATATTTGAGTTTTAAATGCATTGATGCATTATTTAGTGATCTATTGATTGTTTG